GGTTGGTTTAAAAAGTAAAAGCCAATCATGTTTGACTGCTATTGAGCAGCTTGATTTGCTGAACGCGCCTTTTTTTTTGTGTTATACGCGGAGATCAAATGTATATCTTGTACAGGGTCATATAATGACCATGATCTTGTGCCATTAACTTTAAAGCGGGGAGCACACACTTCTGCACAACGCATAATATGTAAGCATAAGAAAATTGATTGGTCCATACACATGTGCATAAGGAAATAAACCAATCAGTTTTCTTATGCTTACGCATTATGCGTTGTGCAAAAGTATGTGCTCCCCGCTTAAATCCTCATCGTTTTAAAGATTATTTGTTATAAGAACAACACGTGGCTATGTATACATACAATGCAAGTCATTATTATCCGTAAAGTCTGTGGTTCAATTCCATCCTTATTATACAATGTATTCCTTGATTAAGAAAAGAATTTCCTGTTTTAAAGAGAAAAGTTAAGATTCTCCATAAGGTAAACTCTGTTCTAAATAGGTATATAAATATAAAATCTTTAACAATGATTGAGATTCATGGATAATATTGTAAAATATATATGTATTTCCTTTTTATTAAATAGATTCAGAATTAGTTTTTCTCATAATGAAATCTGCAGTGGAAGAACAACTTAACCTAATAACATCAGGTTCTATTACTACAGAATCAAGTAACGCTCGCGTAAACGTAGTATAAGTTAGATTACCGGTTTCTTACAAAATATGTGATTTCTGCCCAGTGCTCTGAATGTTATGTGATTTTTGCCCAGTGCTATGAATGTCATCTAGTCATATACATATCAAGAATTTTCGATGGGCTTCTTCAGAAGATAGGATACGAAGAAAATCCTATAACGGCAGGGAGCTGATGTCGAGGAGATTTTCCTGTTTACGCGAAGAAATTATCGTAAGTTATTATTATACTACAGAAGTAACGCTCGCGTAAACATAGTAATTTACATTATTCTTTACACGCTCATTTATGTATGTTCAACATGTAGATACGTTATGTACGTGTGTTGGTGCAAAATATAAATTCGATATACTAATATTTATCTTGTTTATTTAGACGTGATAGAACACAATAAAGCTCACTTTCAAAAGTCCGTCACCTTTGGATCTTTGCTGTGGAACTCATTGCCGTCTATGCATTGGATATCTACTATTGGAAAGAGACACTCGCATTCTGCCTGTATATACGATAACTCCATGTACGTCTGGTGGCTGCACAGCTACATGGACGACGTTCAATGATTTATGGCAGCTGGATTTGGGCACGAGGACATGGGTCAGGCAGATCACCATGGGCAACTATCCATCGCCTAAAAAGCTTGTGCTACTATGCTTTATTATAAGAAAAGTTTGATTTTGTTCGGAGGCTGGTCTCATCCGTTGCATTAGGTAACTATTGAAGAAACTGACCAGCTTCAGTTAAGATATTGTATAAGCATATTGTAAATTTATATTAGATACTACAAAAGCATTCTTTAACTAAATTTATATAATCAAATCATGATCTCTGGAAGACAAATAGCCAAACTGTAATGTTACAAATTATATTATTTATATAACTTCTATTACTTATTTTACTTACAATTCTTTGTATTATAATAATTAAAAAAATATATATGCATATATAGGTTAAAATACATGGTATGACGGAATGATTTTATGGCTCAAAATAATAGAATAAATGTTTCAATATTTATAGCCTTGTTTTCAAGCAAAGGGACTTTGAAAGTTAAAAAAATATGTGTGTATTGTATAATAAAATATATTACAAGAGATAATATTTTTTTTTAGCATAAATAGATGGCACTGAGCGTTCTCCAGGTCACATTCGCAAAATGCACACGCTTCATCACAAGCGTCCAGTATTCCAAAAACAATATCATTTTACAGTGATAATACTCTGAGCATGGCCGCATTTCGCGATCAACCTCTGCGTGGTAATTTGAACACGAAATACGAATAGACAACGTCAATTAAAATCACTAAGGAGGATGGAAGAGAAAATTTGAAATAAGAAGACACAGCTGACGAAAGTATCCAAAAAAGCTGAGAACACATTGTCGATATTTGTATTGGATATTACCAATGTTCTTTCGGATGACTGCAACTCTTTGTGGATTCCCTTAAAGCAAAACGATCATTCGGAGCCTGATGAGAGAATTCTGTATTCTCTTGTAGTGAGAAGGGGAGAACTGATAGTTTTTGGAGGTATTCGTAAAGAACATACAACATTAGGCCCCACCGAAGTAGACGATTCTGTAGTGTATAATGATCTCCATTTTATAAATCCACCTCGATATGTTATTTAATATTGAAAAGGAATTTAAAAAATAGTATATTATTTTATGTTATTACTGTAAATGTATAATATTAAATGTAGAGAAAATGATAAGAAACATATATGTTGATTATATTTATATGAAATCAATATTTACATAAATTGCCTTTAAACTTTAAATATGTTTATTAAAAAATATGAGGAACTCTAAATATATATGTACAAAAAATATGGCAAAAATAAACAATAAAAATAAAAAATAAAACTAAACAATACATATCTTACATAGATTATTAAGACAAATTAAGATTTAAGACTTAGTTTCATAAAAAATTGAATATTAATTATATTTCACACACATAAGGAAATGTATACATATATACACATATATATATATATATATGTATAAATAAATAAAAATATTTAAAAAACAAAAATTTTTAGATTGGAAAGTATTTTTTTGTAGAATATAGTAAAATAATATAATGCTATAAATAAGTAGTAATACTATATATATATATATATAT